AAAAGGAACATAGATAGCTGATTAAAAACAGGCTAAGGACATGCATGGGTATTTCTCTAAAGGAAATATACTATTGGACAAGAAGCACATGGAAGGATACTCATATCTCTAATCACTAAGAAGAAATGAGTTATGTTGTACATATATTAGATTGGAAATTTCTCATTAAAAAAGAAAAAATAATGAAAAAAGACCAAACGCTTGTGAGGTATGAAACTATTATCCCTTTTGTATTGTTGGTTGAAAGGCAAAATGCTGTAGCCATGGTAGAGAACAGTGTTCATTTACTGAAATTCATAGTTGAACATTGACCTACCACACAATCTGGCAATTCCACTATTGTTGGGCAGTGTGACTGTCCTAGACCTTTAACTTGAGAAGGACACACAGAAGTAGAAGTGAAAGCATAGATTTATTAACCAGGATGTGCACCTCAGGTAAAAGAGCTCAGGGCCCACAAGAATCTAGGTGCCAGAGCCTATCTATGGTTTTTTAGATGGAGGGAGAAACTCTTTGAAATAGCATGGCAATTCACTCCAATTAGGGACAGTTCTTTTTGTTGAAGGGGAGTTTTTGTTAATATATGGACCTTGGAGGAACTTTCATTGTGCCCAAAGCCCATCAGGAGATCAAAACCACAATGTAAATGAGATTATAATTAATTATAATGGAATCACATCACTTTTGGCTCTTGGGGATACAGGAATACTTTGGTTCATAAACACTTCTATTCATGAACAATTTGGTACATCAACTTTGTCTATCAGACATGTGGTTGTGGCTTCCTCTACTCAAGATTGTGGTCACAGACAGACCTGTGAACACTTGCTGTGAAGATTTTTGGGGTGCTTTTTAAGCACATAGAGTACTGTACAGTATTATTCAATCCAGCATGGATCCAAAGAAATTGCAGAGCAACTATGGTGAAAAAAAGAAAGTGCAGAGCAGTAAAGAAGGTGACAAGAATGTGCAAAGAAAGAATGATATGAAGGTTTTGAAGGAAATAACCATAGAATCAAAGAAGGAAATTGTAGTAAAACATGAGCATGGTATCCTGTGACTAGTCTGGCTTTAGAGTACAAGATTGCAAAGGCAACATCTCTACTATGTTGAAGAATAAAGATGCCACCAAAGGAGCTGATGTGGTCAAGGGAATAAAGAGGTCAACCAAGCAGAGGTCGCAAATCCTCCAAGAGGTGGAAAAACTTTGGTCAGTGTGGCTGAATGAAAAATAGCTGGCAGGTGATAGTGTTAGTGGACCTATCATCTGTGAAAAAGCCAGAAAAATGCACAGTGATTTACTGCAAGAAAGCCCTCTGCAAGTGCAACAAGTGATGAAATTAACCAAGTAGAGCATGATTTGATAAATTCCACAAGAAAAGTGGCATCCACAGTGTGATAATATATAGTAAGGAGTCCAGTTCTGATAAGGCCACTGCAGAAGCCTACAGGAAAGGATTCACAGAATTCTTGAAGGCAGAAGATATGTCACTTAACAAGTGTTCAACTGCTATCAAACAGGGCTTTTCTGGAAGACGGTGCCAAACAGAACCTATATCATGCAGCAGGGAGAGGCCCTGCCTAGCACAAGCCCATGAAGGACAGATTGAGCCTTTTGGTTTGTGTGAGCACAAGTGACAATCTGGAGATTAAGCCATTACTAAAGTCCCATTCCCAGACCCCTCAACATTCAAGGTACAGAATGTGAACAAGCCCAGACTGCCTGTCTTGTGGAGGACCAATGGGAAAGCTTGGGTCAGAAGTCAGTTGTTCATGGAATGCCTGCAGGAGGTGTTCACAACCACCATTAAGAAATATCTTTATGACAACCAACTGTCTGAAAGTGCCTTCTTCTGATGGACAGACCCCCAGCACACCCTCCAGCCTTGGTGGGTGACATGGATCCTGAGTATGACATCAGTAAGGTCAGGTTCCTCCCTCCCAACACAGCATCTTTTCTGCAGCCCATGGACCAACAAGTTATCTGCAACTTCAAGAAGGTGTACACAAAGGCGCTCTTCACCAGGTGTTTTAGTGTCACTGAAGAGATGTCCTTGACTCTGAACGAGTTCTGGAAGAAACACTTCAATCTCCTCCATTACATCAACCTCACTGACAAAGCCTGGGAAGATGACACTGAATGTAACTTTGAAGGCTCTCATGCACAGGTAGTGGAGGGGATTGTGTCCCTGGGCAGGAGTAGGGGTCAGGACGTCAATGGCAAAGACATAGAGGAGCTTGTTGAGGCCCATAGGAGGAGCTGGGGATGGAAGAACTTGCTGGACTCCAGAGTGAGAGCAGAAGGTGCTTGTTGAGGAGCCTTCTACTGAGGAAGAGGAAGCCAGGGAGGCGGTTAGCGGTGATGTGATAAAATCCATTATGGAAAAATGGACCACATGCCACAGCTTATTTTAGAAGCACCAGACCAACATAACTCTAATAAACAGTATTGAATCTGATAAATGCTAATGTTGTATCTTATTTCAGAAGATTATGCAGCACATAAAAAGACAAGTGACATTAGAAAGATTTTTCTCCAAAATTTACCCTGCAGCTAAGAAGAGACAAAGAATGAAGGAAACCCCTGAAGGATATTTCCCCAGGGTCCTTATGGAGGGGACCCTCTCTCCAAACAATACCCTCCTTCCCAACCACCTTCTGGTCCTCCGTGCCAGAAGTAGCCACAAGCAAGGATAGTGTTCCCTCTCTTCATACTGTGTTTTAATTTGTTTCATAGTTTTATGGTTAAAAAATACATATGCTTCAGAATGGATTAACTTTATTTACATTTAACCTTATGGGAAAATTTGTTTCAGTTCTTGACCAATTCAGTGCATGATCAGAATTGTAGAGCAAATTAAGTTCGTGAACCGAGGTGCCATTGTATGCCATAGCTCATCAGTCCCTGGAATGGCTTAGTCTTCAGAGGTGGGTGCTCTGTGCTTTCTGAAGAACTTATCTTGGGCTGCCTGCAAGCCTATAGCACATGTGCTCTCTTATCTTTCTCAGCTGTGGTCAGTTGTCAAAAGCATGCATTCTGTGGCTTTTGGAGACCCAGCTTCCTCCTTTTCCCTCTGGCATTTAGGATGCCTCCTTCAAAAATGTCTCCAATCTACTTCTTGCTGCCCCACTCCTGAGTGTGTGCATAAAGGTACAGAATGCAAGGACACAATGAGATATTTTTGGTAGATTTTTCAAAAGCAACACTGCTCACAATAACTGAAATGTGGAATCATTCTAAATGTCTATCAGTATGTGAAAAAATAAACAACGTATTTTATAGAATACCAAAATGTATTATAGTTCTGAGAAGAAATATTTGAGTAAGTTTCTACAGGTAAGATTCACTTAAATTTAAGTGTCCTGTACAGTTTGGTATTTTCCTTGGGTAGCATTTCTGTAGATACTAGTGATAAAAAATTAAAAACCAGCAGAAGTAATGGAATATAAAACAATATAATGTGTGGCTTAATATGTGTCACTGATTCTATTTGAATGCAAATATTTTAGTTAGTAGTTGAAAAGCTAATATAAAAGCACAACAATGAATATCTTAAAATTTGAAGTATTCCTAAACTTTTGTGACATTTATCACCCTCTGAGTCATCTTGCATCTGGAGGTTCCAGGTTGCCTGCTGCACTCTCAGAGGACAGGGTTTCAACAGCTCCCTTGACCATTCTTGCCACTTAATTGCACCTCGGTCACACAGTGGTAAATATACATTAGCTCTGGACCAGTGCCAAGGCTGCTAGGGAAGGCTGCAACTCAAATCCCCAGGAATTGTAGGAGGAATAAAGTAGCATTGGCTGTGGAATACAAAGCTATTCTGGGATGAACTTGACCTTTGAGGATAGATTCTGAAGAGCTTTTGCTTACTCATTTCTATGGACAGAGTCAGCTGAGGGACATAAGAGGAAAATGTGTCTGACCCTGTGTGCTTATCGGGATATTCCACTCTCATTTTGTCCTGACTACGATGTTTAACAAATAGTGAGGAAAAATTCCCTGCAAATTTGGGTAACGTTAATGGGTAAATTACATAAAGGTCTTTGCTCTGATACCTCGTAAGAAGGAATTCTAATCATGTCCTATGCATCAACTGAGAGAACTGGTGACATACACTGCAATTAATTTGTTGCAAGAGTTACGAGGACTAGAGGATGCTCCGGTGCTCCTAGGTATTTCTGTGTGTCTAGACCACTGGCACTTATTTTAAAATTAGAGGTAGAGCAGAAAGATAAAAAAATAAAAATATTTTGAACACTGATAAATCTGAGATTGAGGCAGGATCCTCCAGTCATTATTGGGTGATAATTTTATTTGTGATCATAGAATGGGCGAGCTGTCATCGTGCGAGAAGAGTAGGTGAGCACCACACCTCCAGTGAACTAGCCAGGAAAGCACAGTCTGGATACCCTATTGCATCCTGCCCAAAGATTTCCATCTAACACCCGGCAGGACATTGAACATTCCCATGAGACCTCATTCTTGCATCTCCTTAAACTTTCCACCTGCAGTTTAGCATCTTCAACCTCACTTGACAAAACCACACTACCCATTGTTATTTTTCAAAATATGTTTTCAATGACTTTGAGAGAAAGCCAGCAAAATAGGGATATTTGTGCTATTTGTACCTGCTACTATATGAAATATGTTAGCTAATTTACCAGTTCCATCCCACAGCCTTACAGCTGCCAGCTAGATAATCTAAGGCAAGAAAGATGCCAGAACACTTTCTGCTCCTGAGAAACCAACACCCTTCATTTCATTACATTTCTATCCACTCTAAATTGTCTTTCATAGCAAGCATGGTTCCCTTTTCTCATAAGATAGAGAGCTATGTTGTGATTATTCAATAGTATGCTGATGAATTCCAATTTAAACAGAATCAAGTTGAATAAAGTAAAAATGACTAGAGAACCTGAAATGGAGGCTTTCAGAGAACGAGTGCTATCTATTCCAACAAAGAAGAAGTGGCAGGGCTAAGAAATGAGCCGACATGAGGAACTTCACAGAGTTCTTGCTGATGGGATTCTCTGATGACCCAGTGCTCCAGAAGGTGTACGCCATGCTCTTCTCCCTGATTTACCTGGCAGCCCTGACAGGAAACCTCCTCATCATGGTCCTCACCACCACCGACCAGCATCTCCAAACTCCTTTGTACTTCTTCCTGAAGAACTTGTCCTTCATCGATATCTGCTACATCTCGGTCACACTTCCTAACTCCATCATGAACTCTCTGATCAATGCCTATTCTATCTCCTTCCTGGGCTGTGCCTTGCAGGTTTTCTTTCTGATTGTCCTCGGTGGCACAGAGTATGCGCTCCTTCTAGTGATGTCCTATGACCGCTATGCTGCCATCCGCCACCCGCTGCACTATGAGGCTGTCATGAACAGGGACACCTGTGTGCAGATGGTGACGGCCTCCTGGCTTGGGGGATGCATCAGTGGAGCCCTGAACATGGCAGGTACATTCTCTGT